AGACCTCTCCAGTACGCGTTTTCGACAAGTGAGAGATGGAACAGAATTGCGTACATTAGTTGATATCCTGTTGCTGGTACGATGTGTCACTGCCATGTCTAGACTGCATTACGTTTTAAATCAACTTTTAAACCACAACTGGACAACAGATCCAAATTACCCCTTGACAATATATTCGACCAAACCTTCCAACCTCAATCGAATCCAGACCTTACAATCACAAATCCTAAGGTCCATTCGAAACGCCCCGTTTTAAGTTTCAAACCGCATCCAACATGAACATCCCCTATATTACAGTTAGAGTTAGTAGATCATGTTACAAAAACCTTTACTTACATCATCCATCCTCACATCCTGCAACTTTTCTTCCTATCCGTTTCAAACAATCAACGTTCAAAGTAGCAACGGCCTCCACGGCTCAAAGAATCAGTTTTATTTCTTTATTCTCTATCAGAATTGTAACTTCACTACTGAAGGTCTGTAGTGATTGTAGTGATTTTTTTTTACTTACTTTGTCTCCAAAATTACTTACTGCGTTAAACACAGATTAAATAAAAATAACAAGCCTTAATGACCAATTTATAGAAGAAGAATCATACAAGATGAACTATTAGATCCTAATTGTCTGCAACCTCATCTGACGGTCACAACTTGCGGCAATAGGCACAATCGAAGAAACTTTCTTCAGACGATCTATCAGAATTTATGTTGTTTGAGTTTTGATTTATCTTTATATGCAATTCCGACTAAAACAAGAAAAACAAACATATATGTTATGACGTAATGAATCGAGATGGGAATGTTTCTTTTAACGGGTCTTCTTCTTTGCTATGGAACCTCATCATGGATTATTTAGTTAATTAAAACGCTTTCAGTTCAGATTTGTAATTTATAATTTCCTATTAGCTTTATTTAGTTTTCTCTATTTTGATCTGGGTTTGAATTAACCTAAAAAACAAATTGTGAAGTGGTCATCAGAATCAAAATAATTGATGTTTTGCCAGGCTTTCTATCTATTTTAACATAAACTTACAATGCCCATCTAATTAAATTCTGTTAGACCTTGATGAAGATTTTAAACAGATCGAAAGCCTGACTAGACATACATTGTTGTTTTTGTTTCTGATGATCACGTACTGATCCACGCGTAATAGAACTTCGCTAGTCGATACCTTCTTAGATATAAACTAATCGAGATGAAATTAAGCAGGATTCAACAATTATATTCAATACCAAAAGAAAAATACAGAAAGGCCTACCCAAATAATTCAAAACAAACGACACAGGGCCCAGGGGGTAAGAATGTCAAAATTCCGCATAATACCATTTCTTCCACAATTAAAAAACTTGTCATCTATTATGAATGTCAGCTTATGAAATATGCAAGGAAACCTTCCATTAGATGCTAACATTTCTGAACCAAAATTAACAAGTTCACTCTTGTTTTAACATTTTATCTTAACCAAATAATAAGATATTATTTTAAGCATGTCAAATGTTTTTTCAAATATACAAATAAGTCCCATTTCATTGTAACGCACGGCAGCTAATCACTTTTAAACAAGTCCTATCGATACGACAAACTTCACTTTTATAACCGTTGTTCTGATTCACATATAACAAAATTTTCCGACATATTTACAATAAGCAAATTGAAGAGGTGTCTTTTTATAAATAGGACAAAGTGTACGAGAAAGGATCTCGATATTCCGTTACAGTTTCCTTCTTTACGATTGTTCCCTGTTGAATAAAGCAGGTCGTACTTTTTTTTTTGTGGAATGCCCCCAATCTTCTTGGAGGGATATTTCAAAAGGCTGACCACAGCCTGTTAGGATTTTTCAACATGAATATTAGTTGAAAATTAATCATTAATGAACATTAATACAGATTAACATGTTCATACAATGGTGGTCATTTTGGTTTATAAGTAACTAATTATAATAAATGAATTATGATAAAATAAACTTGTGCTTTCTTGAAGGGCAGACGTCCTCGACCATGAACGACATTAGAGAGCTCAAGCGGCGAACTCGATCATGATTATTCACAGGGCATTCACCATGATTCATTTCGCTGAATTTCTCAACAACCATTTATCCAAACTTAACATTTTTACAGTAAAAGCATCTTAAGCCAATTATTGCTATTGAAAATACCGTTTTTTGTTTGTACCAGTTAGCCGGTTGATATAAAAGGCGATTTATTTTAAAAGGCTTCTCGCTGAGGCAGACCGTACAGTAGACAGCCGGGTCGGACGTCCCAACAACATAAGCCGACCTTGCTTGTTATTTAATTTTCTCTTGAAAGGATCGTTGGTACAATCCCGTCCAACGGTCCAAACAAACAAACCAACGAACGTCTCTGAACTTCGTTCAAATTGTGAACGACGTTCCAGTGAACCCGGCTTGAACCGTGACTGGTGCAACGGGGCCTTAGTGTCATATATAAAGTGTATACTAATAAAAAAACAACCTTAAAAGAATATCTAATGAAAAATTATACATTAAAAAGTGAGCAATAATGGAATTGGAGCTGAAATAATTGATTGAACAAATATTTGTTCAAGTGTAAGAACAATAAAAGAAAATCTTTAGCATAATTAAATAAAAATCATGATAAACCACCAACTATGTCTAACAAGTCCTAAAATACACTTTTTTCAAGTAAAATTACGTAATTTAGAAATAGGCTGATTACAAAGTGTAAGAACAATAAAAGAAAATTTTTAGCATAATTAATTCAAATTCATGACAAACCCACCAACAATGGTTAACAACAAGTCTAAAACATACAATTTTTTCAATTAAAACTTTACTTAATTTAGAAATAGCATGATTACAAAAGTGTAAGAACAACAAAAGAAAATCTTTAGCATAATTAAATAAAACTCATCACAAACCCACCAACAATGGTTAACAACAAGTCTAAAACATACAATTTGTAATAATGTATTATTTATAATGTATAAATGTAGTGTGTGTAATGTATAAGTGTAGTGTATAATTTGTAATTGTACAATGCGATGCTTTTAGGCGTTTTTCAGGGCACATATAATGTCACATTACATTCAGATATTCTCGAATGACAAATTTGTCACTTGGATATTTCTTTCCCTGAAGTTTCACTTAATGTGTAATTATTTTATAAGTAAAATGAGAAAAAATGCATTTTTTTTTAAAACGAAACTACTATGTAAACACAATCTGTTACTTCATTCGTTACGCCAGTCTTACGAGGAAAAGAATCTTTTTCATCAGTAGGTGTTCGAGTTGTGCAAATAATCGGGACTACCTTTGTTTTCAACGTTTTTGCCGAATATGTCCCCGGACGATTTGCATTGTAGATCCGCGAATTAACATAACGAGCGGCTTGTTATGCAAAGCTTTCAGAAGAGGCAGCAAAATCATGTGTTGCACGGGTACAGTTTTGGTAGAAGCATTATATTATGACAACAGAAGACTAATGGTTCGTTTATTCATTGTATTTATTATTCAAATACTATCACAGATAAGTTTGGACAAAGGCGAGGTTGCGCCCTCTTTGTTTAGAACCATTAAAATGAAGTTTGCCATAATCTTAGACTAGAAGTTGAACTTATAAGACCAGATTTACGTTTTATCGTGGTTAATGATACAAACTTCCCTAAGAGGCTTTAATGGAAAAACCAAGACTAACAGAGCATAATTAAACTAAATTACATCTGAAAAAGATAGACAGTACGATTATATACAGGTAAATTTATTATCCCTCTTCATTTTAATACTATAATCCCCTAGGATTGTGGTGGTGGCGAGGGTGAAACTTGTAGAACTCCTGAGCACGGACAAGGGGGAAGGGAAAATATGGCTTTTTCCACTTTTTTCGATCTAACTGATGTTTATTTAAGAAAGTTTATTTTAAATTCAAATAGCAAGATATTTTCTCCATTATAAAAAGAAGAACAGATTTTACGGCTTAATGTACATAAAAAATATGAAATACATGGAAGTTAAGTAGTGTCTGGAGATATAAAAATATTGTTAATAAAAAATAAAATAAGTGAGTTGCTTAAGTTACAAACCCCGGGGGTAGTAGTGAAGTGAATTTATTATAAGTCTGCTTTTTTTCTACCACTCGGCTGGAAGGATGACTTGCTGGGTGATGTTTAAAAATAAAATGCAATTTCACGATCCCTAGAGGTAAAGTTGGATAAAAATAATTATTACCAAGGGACAAAAATGACAATTTTCTTGAAAGTATTGATTTAAAAAGTAGTTTTTAAACTACTAATTTGGCTGAAATTAGTCAAAAAATGTGACATATTTCAAATCCTACAGGGAGGGAATGGTTCTGCCCAATATTATTGGGCAATATTCCCCAGGAGAGTAAAGGCTACTTCAGCTTATCTGACACGGAAGGCACGAGAAAAATCAGGTACGGAAAGCCATCCGGTTCCCAGTTATCCTCCCCTTCATGCAAGCGGATTTGCGGGGGTGAGGAGACTTATTTCCCTTGTACTGGTTCATTAGTTCCCTCCTTACTTGTAATACAGTCCATGATTTAATGCCATCGTAAAAAAAAAAACAAAAAAACGGGGAGGGCTCAAAAATGCAATATCACTTACATTTTGCAATCTCAATAATCTGTAGATTTTTCTGGATATATCCTTGCCGCGAGGATGTTATCAGACTTCAAAATCGGCACAATAGCACAAAGTTTATTTTCTGTTTTCAGTAAGGTTAACCGTTCAGAAAAATGTTTCAAAACCATCTGTTTAACAGAGAAAATCCTAGCAGGGATAGAATACAATTGGCGCTTTAGTAGAGTGGAAATATATTTCTAAGTATACAGATAAAACTTAAGAAAAGGGAATAATGAGATTTTTAAAATAATTATTTTAATTCGTTGCAAAACTATGTTCCTAAAAAGGGCATGGGCTTGAGGTATACTGAAGTGTCATGGGGTCGAAGGAGGTGATTTTCGCATTGTACAGATAATTTTCAAACATGTTCAATTTTTACCTTTTTTCTTTCCCTCCTTATTTTCGATTTCAGGTTTTTCATCCGTCTTCTCGTCGGTCTTTTCCAATTCCTCTTTCGGCTGGTCCAAGGGTTCGGTCACTTCCTTGTCCAGTGCAGCCTTGGCGACATCATTGCTATCATTTTGAACGGCTTCCTTTTTAGGAGGGGAGTTTTTCACCACCTCGGCGTAGGACCACGGGAGTGACTTGAGCCAATTTTGTTCGGACGCTCCGAGCTTCTGCTTCGGAATCCAAGCTGAATCCCAATAACGACAGAATTTATCTAATTTGTTTTTTTCTTTTCGCCATCAATCAGCAGAAATCGAACAACTGATTGTGACACCTCTAAGACCCCATTCATAAACACCCCGCTACTGTTAGACTCACAACCACATGCCATTAAGTCATCTAATCAATGTTTCGTCAATTCTTTATAATTACACTAACGACACACGAAATACAGACGTACAATCACAAGAAAATGTTAAGTTTCGTTAGAAAAGTTTTGAAAGGAGTTATTTTGGTAACATAAGTTCTACACGATATGAGTTAAAATTTGAGCATAACTTGCATCTTATCATCATAAGTTACTTAAACCGTTAGATAATTTAATAAGAAACACACACTTTATTACACACTACTACAATACTCCAAACATTAAATAAATTAAAAAACACTAAAAATCAATTCAAATATTGCTTAATTAAGAGTTAAAATTTTACATTATTACATCTACTTTAATATTACATATAATAAAAAACATAATATAATACTATTAAAAATCAAAGCAATCTCTAAACTTCATCCATACATTATTTTTATATTGAACAACTAAAAGATGGATATACAAAAAGAGTAAGAAGAAGAAAAGAAGGAAAAACTTTGTTTGCATAAGCGATTTCTTTGTCACAATCGTCTTGTGCTTGCTAACTTTTCACTCTATTATATCCAACGATCGTCTGTTTTAAAATATTTGCTTTAAAATATGGTCAAATGTTTGACCTAATGCTTAAATAAATATTATGAAAATAAAACTTTTATTAGAATATATAAGCGATTTATATGGTGACATATCATAAAAAGTCATTATAAACAATGGTTACTAATTCGTTTGGATATCAATTCCAAGCACTTACGAATTCCTGTTAAAAGGGCTGAATTTTTGGCCAATTTTCTTTGTTTATCCAGTGAAAGGTAAGTTTCTTTCCGTTTGATGCCATTTTATCGAAGGCCTAACTTTTTTTTGTAATCTACATTATTCAACATCGTCTGTTTTAAGATATTTGCTTTAAAAAAAATTTCAAATGTTTGTGGTGATTAGTGACCGTTAGTCGATGATTATTCGGAAATCGTGAGATGCGGTCTGGTGTGATGTAGGTTTCAGAAAAACATTTTCTTTATCGTGCCAACGTTTCGATCTTTATTGAGATCATCTTCGGGGCCTGGGATTTACAAACATTGTTTACATTTAACAAATACATGTAGGATGTGGAAACAAGTGAATTTATAAATGCAAAAAAAAATTTATTTGTTATGTTCAATCGAAGTATTTCTACTCACTCGCAGAGTAGTATCAAACACTTTGAGTGAGTAGAAATACTTTGAATGAATATAAAAAATATATTTTTTTTTGCATTGTATAAATTCACTTTTTTCCACATCCTACATGTATTTGTTAAATTTAAACAATGTTTGTAAATCCCAGGCCCTGAAGATGATCTCAATAAAGATCGAAACGTTGGCACGATAAAGAAAATATTTTTCTGAAACCAACATTACACCAGTCCACATCTCACGATTTCCGAATAATCGTTTGACCTAAAGCTTAAATTAAATAAATGTTACGTAAATAAAACTTTTGGTAGAATACGTAAGCGTTTTATATGGTGACATGTTATAAAAAAATCACTATAAATAATGCTTACCAATTCGTTTGGATATCAATTCCAAGTACTGTACGAATTCCTGTTAAAAGGGCTGAATTTTTGGCTAATTTTCTTTGTTTATCCCGTGAAAGATAAGTTACTTTTTGTTTGATGATATTTTATCGACGGCCTATAAAGCGTGTGAAAGAACGGTTAACTTACAGAGAAACACAAAGAACATCGTGTATCACTTTAGGGCGAGGAAAAAAAGTTTCTTTTCCACCAACGCCTGAAACAACCCCTATCCAGGATTGCTTTTAAAACACGTTCTTTACGGTGCAGCTCGAGACACGGTGTTTGAAACGTAGAAGGGACGCGTGTTTGTTTTCTTGAATCGCGCCCTATTAAAACACACAGTCTGTATACACAAATTGTCACACGTTGGGATCTGGAAAAGGTTCCCAGGGAGAAATCCGATTGGGCTATACTGAAGTTAACACGATTAGGTATGTGCACAATAGAATGTATCTGATAAGGATCTGAAAATTTCGATGACGTTCGTTGGATGATAGCAAATCGTTTCTCTTCAGAGATTATGCAAACGTTTAGTATAATGTTTATAGTACACATATAAAAAAAGAACAAATATTGAATGTCCATATCTACTATTCAAACATGCTTCGTGTTAAGAACAGAAAGAAAACAAAGATGGTTCCGATTTGTTATACTTAAACTTAGCCCACACTTAGATTCGAAGTTGCGCTTCATTGTTGCGTGGCTGAATCTCCTTTGAATCACGACTGTTGAGATCCAGCCCCGCAACACATCCCCTTGTATCTGGGGTGTACTCCGGGTCTATTTGTTAAAAGACTTTGAGTCCCATCGGAACCGGATTCAGTGGTACAATGTTGCGCGACATTGCAAGTGTAGACGCATGTTCCGGGGGCAGCAGGAGTGTGGTTACGAGTTTCAGGACTAGGGGAAATTGAATTTCTAAATTTTTTTGTTTTCTTTAAACACTTTCGGCGCAACCATTTGCAAAAGCTTTTCAAAATTTATAGGTGTATTTTTAAAAAGTACCATACCATCTTTTAGCCTTAAGTGCCCACAAGATCGTGGCATGTATCTTTTGTTACTTGCCCACCAATCTTTTTTTATTTCTATTTTTCATTAATAATAACAATGAGAGAGAAACACCCGCGTAACATTGAATCGGTACTGTTCCCAACAAAGACGCTCAACTTTGATCCTAGCGTGGACTAAGCTTTATACGTAGAAAACAGTAACATTTTCCAAAGTTTTTATTAACTTTCAAACATATACAATGGAATTACTTACATTCCATCGTGTTCGCTTGGTCGACAAGAGCTTTGGCCCTGACGATCGGAGGGACCATCATGTCGTCCGCGGCATCGACGTCCGTCTCCGGACCCATGTCCTGCTCGGTGAAATGTGTCGCTTCGCTCCCGTTGTGCTGGTTAACGTGGTCGTGGGGCCAACGAACGGAAATTTTCACGTCGTCCATCCCTTTTTCACACCTTGGAAAACAGAATGAGATTAGAAAGGAAGAAAAAGAAATAAAGAATAAAAAAGACAAATCTGATTCACGGTATTGCATAACGTTGAAACAATAGATACTCGTCATACACGCGACTCAATGCCGACTCCATTTTTTTTTTTTAATTGTTTGTACAATAATTAAAAAGATCATTGCAATAATTGGCTCGAAACTAACTGCGGAAAAGCTATTTCCTTTTACTAAACAATTACCTGCCCGTTTGATTCCTTCTGACTTCCTTTTTCAGTTTACGTGAAATTTGAACCGACCCTTTGCTATCCCTGAAGTCTTCGAAAATTTTGTTATAAATTCCAGAGAGCTCAGACATACCTATTGAAACAAATCCAATTTCTGCAATGATCGTGAAGCACAGTATTTTATTTCTCTGAATATAGAAAATCTTATCGCATAAATCCTTAAAAGGCGTTCTTTCTGTTTGTTTTGAAGATAACGCATTAGCCACAACTGTTCTCCGCTTTTCAAGGCTATGTTCAATACATAAATATTAAACAGCAATCAAATGCTTCTGTTTTAAGCCTTCATGTAACACACCATTAACTTTCGGAAGAGTTTCACCCCTTCTAACCCTTTTTATTTTAATAGACACATTAAAAAGTGGATGAAACGCCTTTGTCTTTTGGTGATCCTTTAATAAAAAGAGGATTTCTCGTGAAATTTATATACACCTCTGCGAAATTTCTACAAAAAGAAAAATTTCCAACCTCGTTTTTGCGTAATTTCAACAAATTTCAACACTCGATCGGACAGGTCAATTGTGTTTTGCAGTCGAATTAAGACTGTTTTAAAACTTGCAGGATCAGACTGGGAGACTGTGCCGGATGTAATCACGTTTCAAATTAATCTTTCATCTTATTGTGATTTGCTCCGACGCTCTTGCCAATTCAAGGGCAGATTTTTTATTTTTGTCGAGAAGAAAGATTGATTATCCGAGGGAGTTTTCAATTTGTACGACATTTTCCAACTGAAATGCGTAAACAAATCGCAGGATTTCCAACTTTTAAAAGATTTCACATTGCAGTTTTTCTACATGCCTTGTTGAAGCTTTTTCCTTAAAAATTATTTTCACCTCCAAGAATAAATTTAGTCACTTAATTTTAAATATTTACCTAAACTGCCCATTTTGGACCATAACGTAAAAAACAAAATATACTAAAATATTCAAAATTGGTGAAGCTGGGCAATATTTAAAGAGTAACATCACATAATTTTTTGAAGTCCTGCAGTTTAGAAAAACACCTTTTCCATTTGTTTTTACCGATGTTTCGACCTTTATTCGGGTCATCATCAGCGCATAAAGTATGGCGATTTTCATGTGGTGTGAAAGTCTTGTGACGCCAAACCAAGATGACCCGAATAAAGGTCGGAACGTCGTCAAAAACAATGAAAATAGGGTTTTTACATACTACCTCATTCTTAACCGCTCCTCACGACTTGAAAAAATAATGAAACAACTGTAATAAACACAAATATCATCTAAGTTAAAGCAAAACGTCAGTCGCAATAGCACTTACTGATCAGTATTGATCAAACTCCTTACGATGGATATTGGGCGGGTATGGTTTTAAAATTAAAAAAGGAAAAAACATTTACCGACGCTTCTCGACATGCTTTACCAATCTTCTTGTTCTAACTGGGCATGTCTTTCGTTTCTTCGCAGCAGAAGGCAAAGAGACCAGACCCGACAGGCTGAGGAAAAAATATAGATGAGGTCCCGGAATACAATGTTGAACTTAATTATATTCTGTTTATTGGTCTACTAGAACCACCTAAATCTATAAAAATCTACTAATACTCCCTTAAATATTTCTTTTTTATTCTTTTGTTACTATTTCCTTATTTGTCCTATAAATGTCGAGAACTGCTTAAACCCAAAATATTATTATTTTTCTTTAACAGGGTGTAAAAACTAGATGACCATTTTTCATCAAAAATTAATATTTTTATTACTTTATTGTATTAAAGTAATTCATGTCATACAGGAGGGCTTAACGTCCAACTGCCGGTTGGGTGTCGCGGACGAGGAGTCAAACAACTTTCCACTACCTTTTACATATTATTACCAATTAAAATTCAATGGGCTGTGCCGATTCGAACCCAGACCAGCTAGCGTGGCAAATACGAAAAATTACACTTATCTTTAACATTTAACCAATTCAATTAAATACACTTCATACTGTTAAAGCGAAAACTTAATCTAAGTTTGGCGGGAATCGATTTCTCCATATATGTATGTACTGCTGAGACCCCACTCATACAGCTTCACTATAATTCTGTACTTCGCCTTGACGTCATCTCTTCATTCACGCCGCCAACAAATACATTCTTAAATAATAAAAATCACTTATTTACTAACCTAATTGGTCCGACAGGTTTGTGGGGTACTCGATATTCATCTACAGACCATATACGTACACACTTATCCGCAAATAGATAAAATTCACACAATCAGGGTTTTGATTTTACGCCAGTGATTTCCCTATTATACTGAAATATGTATAAAACTAAATAATACTAGTTTGAGAGCACAGCATAGTTCATCACAAACACTCCCGAACATACTGCAACGTTCACAATCTGCGTGGTCTTTCCATGCCCATGTGCTAGCCTGGTGTGGCCTAGCCACTGGCAAATCAACGTGATCCTATCGTGCACAGGAATTTTGACTTAGGCCAATTATTAGTTTATTCCCTCTGAACAATTAAGAACGAAACCAGTAATACCTACGATGGAGCGAGATCTGTACTATATGGTGGGAGAGTAGTCTAAATTTTCTTTGAACCGACAGGAAATATAAGGCAAAGCATCATATAGAAAACCCCTTTATACAATAGCTAACCAAAGAGCATAATTTCATGTAAATACTATTTAACTGTTCGTTGAGTTCAGAATTCATAGATCATATCTCAGGAACGAAGTGAATACACAATAATAGAATAACTCCTTCATAGACGATTTTTTTTAACCATGCTACCTTCTCCATGGATATTAGGATTTCCTCAGTAAATCCACTTTACATCACACGGACAATCCTTTCGTCAAAAATAGGATATCACAAGGTAAAAAATTTTCGTAAGTTTATATCCCTTGCCATAAATTCATGATGACCAGACCGCTGTTTTTTCCATCATCCACATGAATGACGATTGACTCAAGTTTATAACTGGCAAGTATTCGTGACAAGATTCGACATAGTGATTGCGTAGAACCTCAACATGACTATTGATGGTCACCCTTAGCTCTCCCAACAGTTAATCAATGTGGTGCGTTGTGTCAGTCAAGAATCCTTTCCCTCTCAGGTGTAATAATTTCACGAGCTGCATCAGCTCCTGTATTTCTTTTTATACTGCTTTTTTGAGCCAGTCGAATTTAGAAATCAAGTCTTTTACAATAGTACGCATAGTAGAACTGGCACTAGGTCACTTACTGGGTTCATCTACACGTTCAGGTATTAATAGAATAGTTTAACACGTAGATATGATGATTGGTGGAGTGAGTGTTCAATCTTTTTAAAAAGATCACGTGTTCATCAACTCGCGCACCAACAACCATCTCCTCTACAAAAGAGTATTAATTATTGAAAACGCAAAGGAATGGAAAAATTTATCGTCCTAGAAAATCGTGTTCTTTATAAAACGGTCATTTTTTTCATACACTCATTTAAATCCACGTTCATGATCATTTAAATCCATCGTAATTTGTAAGTACATACATTTTGTAAGACCCTTTTTAAATGTTTTATTCATTTATTTGTTATATTTAAAACTTACCTATTGGGATCGGTTAGGAAGACCACCACCACTGAGATGTTATCTTCGCTCGATATTTTAGCGAGCTGCACCAAATGTTTCGCAAGGTCTTCGATCGGTGCTGCAAAGAAAACGCAAAGATCAGATTTACACGTCAAAGGAATATTGAGAACTTAACGGCTTCCAGTTGGAAGCGCGCCTTTTGTATTAAAACTACGTGACTTGGCTCGTACAAAGGCTTCCATGATTACACATAACCGTTGTGTTGGATTCCGTTCATAACTAGGTGTAGAGTGCGACTTGGTAAATTCAAGGCCTGAAGTCACGCACAAAGGATGCCTGACTTACGAATAATAGAAAAATAAAACATCAACCACTCGAGAATAAATCAAAAACAAAATAAAGGAAAGGAATCACTGGAGATGGAATGAAGCCGAAACACGACTGACGGACCAAAATGATCGGAAGCGACTAAATGACAAAAACTAAGTACTGTTCGGAAATGAAAGATTTTTAGTGTCTAGGTGCTAATTTAATGTTTGATTCAAATTGTGATGTAGGATTGTAAAAATAATAAAAATATTACTATTTAGAGATTATTAAGCGAGAAAATGCATTAATAAACAAAAATCGATATAATCATGGCCGAAAATTGAATTGAGATTTAGAGAAAATCCGTTTATTACAGTCCTCAATGCTTGAAATCACCATAACGGGCCTTCGACTGGGAAAATTCATGGGCATAACGCCCGGGTAAACATAGAATTCGACATATCCCCTATTAACTCGGTCAACTGTAATTGGCTTCGTTAAACTCGTTTCGATTCGGTCTAATGAAACTGTACTAAAGGAACTATTTAAAAAGAGGGAAAAAATTCAGGGGATAAGGGTATTAGGGCGTAGGGTGCAGCAATGACCAAAGGAATGGGGAACTGCCACGTGGCATGTCCCTATTGATTTTCAAAACAAGGCAAATGCAACTTGGGACCAAAGTCCTACAGTTGCTGGTACAGGAAAATCCAAATTGTCAGCTTAATTTATAAACACAAATTTTACTCTATTAATATCTATGAAGGCAATGTTAGATCTAAGCTGTTATCAATTATCCTTCGTGGAAGGAAAACCGATTTTCCCATTTTACTTCTTGCAATTCACACAGTAATTTTAATAACAAACTGTTAAAAATAACAAAATATGACCGCTAGTTCGTACTTCTTATTTCTTTGGCTCTATTATACTATTTATCTAATATGCCTCCATACGTTTAACGAAAATAAAATTCTAGGGTGAACAGTCGTTTACAGGTAATTTTATATAAGCAATAAATATTTTAAAAAATCTCCTATTTATTGGTGGGTCCTTTAAGGAATGGAAATTTATTTATTCCGTCTTTAAAGGTTTGATTAACCCCCTTGAGGCCGGTGATCTGCCTTAAAATCAAAGGAATTTTGATTTGAAATAAAATACGAATACAATTGCAGAGGTACACCTCTATTTTGTTTCTTTTAAAACAAAAATGTATTTCCTTATGAATCAAAAACGTTATATAAAAAAATATAAAACAACAAAACATGAACCTTTGCTTACAAATTAACAATATAAGAATGATTAGATACTATGGAATAATATGGGCCTGAAGGGCAAAATATTAAAATAATCAACCTTGATAACAAAAATTGAAAATACCAAACAAAAAACCATAAATGAAAATGGGCCACACAACAGAAATAATTTATACTAATAAAAATCAAAGTGGATACAAATCTGATTTGACTGGCTTTCAGCTGGATTTTTTTCTTATTGCTTTTCTTCCAATGCCTAGGCTAGACTGAACTATCCGTTCTCGCTTTCCTGCCTCCAGCATGGAGGGGAGAGCCTGGACATAATTTGTTGTTATATATTGAAGCGGGTTAATAAAAAAAATTGCTTTTACGGTATCCGTCCAAAACCGCTTACTTCCTTTATTTGGAATTGAATTTGAGAGTCCAAAATTCAACTGGTCAGAGTTGCCTTTTCCAACAAAACGATTTTATAGAATATTCCAGTGAAATAAAAATGTGTGGTGATTAGTGACCGTTAATCGATAATTATTCAGAAATCGTGAGATGCGGTCTGGTGTGATGTAGGTTTCAGAAAAACATTTTCTTAATCGTGCCAACGTTTCGCTCTTTGTTGAGATCATCTTCAGGGCCTGGGATTTACAAACATTGTTTACATTTAACAAATACATTTAGGATGTGGAAAAGTGAATTTATAAAATGCAAAATATATTTGTTATATTCAATCAAAGTATTTCTACTCACTCAAAGTGTTTGTCTTCTGTGTAATTGTGCCATTCTTGCGTGTCGTATAAACACATAAAACTGCAAAATCTCACTGGCACTCTCAACACGACACGCAAGAATAGCACAATTACACAGAAGACAAAGCAAAAGATGTTATTACATTTTTATGGTAATAAAAACTTCCAACTCCAGGGCCTCCATGGGCAAGGCTAATTGTTTAAATAACCAGCGATACATTTTTACCAATCTTTCAATTATTTAAGGTTTTTAGTTGAGATAAAAAAGTCAGTGTCACGAGCGGGATTCGAACCCACGATCTTATTTTTTTACCTTAACTACAAACCTTAAATAATTGAAAGATATTAATTGGTCAAGCGGACCACGAAAACTAGTGAATTTTTACAAATATTTATTGAAATGTAACATCTACAGATTATTGGGCAAAAATAAGTCTCAAGCAGGCTAAATGGTATTTTTGAAATAAGATAGCGATTATAACAGATTTATATAAAACCTCTTAGAAACAGAATATATAACTTAGATTAATTAATAATAAACGAATGAAATAACAAATGCACCGTTTTATTAATTGAACACTTAGGTTTTAATACACTGAGATAAATTTTGGATATATGGAAATAATACCACCGGGTTTAAATTTCGTCAATTGTTGAAATGTCTTTTAACTAATACCTGCTGAACAATATCTCATTGAAACGAACCTGTGAATAGTAAATATTTCAATAATGTATAGTAAATAGTTTTGAAACACCAGAGAGGCAATCAACAAGAAAGACACCAAGATTAAAATGTCCATCTAGGCACGAGAAAGATTATTCATTTAAATAACCAGCGAAACAAATATTTATTGAAGCGTAGTACCTATCGGATTATTTAGTTAGAAAATAAGTTTGAAGAACATTACTGTTGGGTAGGGTTGTGATCAAATAAAGCTGTTCAAAAGAAGGTCTCCAGGCAGCATAAGTTTAAGAACCACCGGTATTATGGATTTAAAGAGTTTGTGGGATGTCTGAAAAATCTACCACCCAAAAAGTAAGTACGTTAAACTAAGTTATAACCAAGTTAAAATCAATAATTAAACTAGTTGGGGAATTACAGTAAATGTTTAAAGTTCCGCTGAAAAATATATATTAAGGTAAGACCATGGGCTGCATAGGTTTAAGAACAACTGGTTATTTACTTATACGTATAACCAGCGATCGAATTTTCTTAATAGGTATTTGTTGAAACTGGTACTTCATTACTTCATTTTAGAATTAGGACGTAAGTCTCAAGAACCGTACTATGTTTGGGTGGGGTTGAGCTCAAAACAGTTTTTCAAAAGAGGGTACTCGGACCGCATAAGTTCATGAACCACTGGTATATTGAATTAAAGAGTTTGTGGAATATCTGAACGATCTATCACCCAAAAAGATTTCAGGTTGAAATCAATAATTAGACTAGTCGGAATATGATAGGTACCGTCTGATAGCTCGGAATCCTTAACCATTCTAACACTTCCCCACATACTGCTGGTATAACATTCACCAAAAGGAGAAAGATCGGTTTAAAAGAACTGCTTCTAATCAGATAAGAAAACGGGCTCGATTCTAACGGCAGGATTGTTTCAGTCGTTAAGTTCAATGTCAGAGCGAACCGTTTTTCCGATAAGAAAGGGGGAGAATCGCGCTGATAACCTCAGACGTTTGTGACGGTTATAGATTCGAAAGTTCGTTGAACGGACAATACGATTTTTGAATAAGAAGGCCAAATGAATGGAGTCCCGGGTTAGCCACGCATTCCGTTCTTCACCACATTTCAACACTTTTTCAACTGAGGGTCTCTTCCCTCGAGTCACTGATGCCCATCGGAAGGAAGATTCTTAATAGTTAGTCTGTTGGGAGAAGCGACGTGCATTTCCGGGTTCGAAGAAGAATAAGTTTATAAAACTTTGCCGTACAGAAAATGAAAACAACAAACTTTCCTTGTATTGATTTTATAATCATAGTTAGATTGTACGATTTCTTTTCTCCAGTCCATTCCAACCCACAAAACCCAATTTAATTTTTTCGTTGTTAATTTTCTTATAAACGCTGTTAGACAGTGAATGCAGTCTTGCATAATTGGGAAGCAGTGGTACGGAAGATTGCTCGGGCTTAGAGAGGACAAACCTTTTAGCACGCCTAGCCAACACCCGAATTGAGCAACTGTGACAAATCATATGACTTCCTTAAAAACCCAGTCGAAAGTTTATGAAGCAAATATACCCTTCTGAAGGTTCAAGTGTTTGATGAAATGAATTTATCAAAGTTTTCTCGGATTGACTCTGTTTTGTAGATTTGCGAAAACAAAGATATATTCCAGATAGAGAGGTTCAGCACGTACTTCTGCCATGCACGAGTTAATGACCAGTTGAATAATAGTTATGCCATGAACGTGATATCGGAATTCAATTTCCACATTCTTCAGATAAAATCGAGGGATGGTCCGAAATAATCGACTTGAAATCCATAAATAGAGGTATCTGACTAGCAGTACTAAAGACTACCATGGCACAAAACCATTTTTTTTGCAATTTGACCGACCTGCTTTTGGCAGACTAAACCACTTGAAACGAGTGTTTCATCTGAACACACAATATTTAAACACTGCAACAATAACATTCGCCTATCTTAGTCCTTGGTCTATCCCAAATGGAAACTTTCAAGAATATCGCAATGAGGTTGTGGGTAAAACAAATTAAAACTACATAACGGGACTCGTAAGGTGAGTGAGGATGAAACCCCATTAAACTTCTCAATCTGAAGACGAGAAACGTAGGAACGTACTAGGTGCA